TGCAAGCTGGTGCCTGGGTTTCCCGCAGCAGGGCTGGTCCCACCGCGCCAACCTCTGCCACCAAGGGCCCCCCAACGAAACAAGGGGTGTCCTTGTCCTTTCCAGCAGGATACAGACAGCCCCAGACACCTGAAGGAGCCCCAAGGTTTGATCTGCCTGCTGCTGAGGACATCCCTGCAGAGCAGGTCACAGCTCCACGCTCAGGTTGCACCACAAGAAGCCAAAGCTCAATTTCCTGCAGCTCCCAGTGGAGCCCAGGATACCTGGAGCAGCCTGGCCGGGTCCGGAGAACCTCCTCTCCCAGGGGACAGACAAGCAGGCTCCAAGGAAGGCTCCATCCCTGGGCGCTTCAGCCCAGGATAATGCTCCAAGCAGCCAGCCCAGGGAGGAGGCTGGACCAGGGAGCCCCTGAGCTCCCTTTGCACCCGCACAGCCTGGGAGCCCCTGCTGTGTCCCGGGAGCCGCGCAGCACCGCAGCCGCGCTGCCTGCTCACGCTGTGGCTCGCGCCGGCACGGAGCACACACCGCGTCCAACAGCACCGGCTGCTCCCGCTGCTGTGTCTTCCCGTCCTGCTGCGCCCACGGCCGCTCCATCACCAACCCTGCAGCACAGCGTGCCAGAGGGGGCCCGTTCAGAGCCGAGCACATATATGGGAAAAGCCCTGGGAATGGCCTGCGCAGCTTCGGCCCGGCAGGAGCAGCACGAGAATGCCACGACTACGGCTGAGCAAGCGGGGGGCTGCACACGGGGGTCACGCTGGATCCGCGCGGCTGCCGGAGCAGCCCCAGGAGGCGGCAGCGCAGCTTCCTGCCCCCTCCTCCGCCGTGTTTTCCCTGCAGCACGGCACACGCAGCCGCCTGTTTGTGCTGGCTCGGCCTCCCCCTTCTCCGCACCTCCGAGCGATCCAAGCGCAGGAGATACAGTATTACCTCAAATATTTAGCCAAGGGATTAAAGCGCTCACTTGGCAGCGGGCGCGCGCTGCCCCGCGGGTACGGTTCTCACGGCGGCTGGGGGGGCCACC